AGGGGTGAGCCCGAGCAGGTGGAGGGCCACGTGAGCCGTAATCGCACCCTCTGCTGGACCTAAGCAGTACTGCCGCGGGCGAGAGCTATCTAGTTCATCTTAAATATTTCAAGTTGGCGGCCAAGTCCTAACTTTCGGGCTGACATCTGGTTGACCCGGCAGCTGGACAGAGAAGCCAGCAGGTGGCGAGAGCAGAGGCCCACCGGGTCCACACTACACACCAAATGTGGCCGAATGTGGCGCGCGGGGCCTGAAGCCGTCCGTCTGGAGTCTAACTCCACCAACCTTCCTTCCCAGCGCTCTCCCACACTGTCTGCTGGTGCACTCGGGAGGCAGAAAGACTGGGGGGCTCGAGGCGGGGCGGGGGGCGGGGGCGACCGGCCCCTCCTCCCCGCCGCGGAGTAGGAGAGGCCTAGGACCTGGACCACCACCCGCAGACCACACAGCCACCCCGAGACGGGGGTTGTCGGGCCACACCCTCTGACGCCAGCGCCTCAGCCCACGACTCTCCCACAGCCCCGTTCCTGCCAGGGTGATGAGCCACCCGCAGGGTGGGAAGAGGAGGAAACTAGAGGGGATGGAGACCAAGCAGGGGTGCCCCCTGAACCTGCGGCACCCTCGGAACAACATGTAGCCCCTTCGGGCGGAGCTTTCCCGGCCCTCGGAAGATGGCACAGGACCATCCCTGACTCTCCATGGGGACTTGGGAAAAAAATCGGCCAGAGCCTCAGACGGCCAGGACCCACGCGGGCCCGCGACCGGGCCTGGGGAGTGTCTCCGGCCCCCTGCATCATGCCTGGTGGGTCCCGAGGGTCGGGCCTCTGCAGCTGCGAGCTGGGGACCAGCCCGGGCAGCCCCACACTCGGCTCCTGCCGGGAGCGCGGTAACAGCCTCCCCTCCACAGCCCTGCACGCCTGAGCTATGACTCACAAGGGACGCGCCAGAGCTCTGGCACCATCGGGACTGTTCAGCTGAAGTCTGCAGGACTCCCGAGCTCTGCCCACCTCACAGCGGGGACTGTCCTTCCCTCGGCAGCTGCCGCTGGAGCTCCAAAGGACAAGAGAACTCTAGAAAGGCGGCCGCCCCTGTGGGCCACAGGCAGTGCCGTCAGCCCAAGCGGCCTCTGGAGAAGACCTGTACTGCTAGCCGGCCGCTAGGAGGCGCCAAACGACCGCCCACGCAATAATCAGCCAGGGAAGAATGAAAAAATACATCTATATGCATATACTGATCGAAGAACAATCATACCCAGTCAGGGCGGCGATTTTCTAGGCAACAAGGGAGAAAGCAACTTTGAGGTGGGGACAGTAGAGAAGACACAGTTGACCCAGTCTGTGCACAGGCTTCCTTTTCTCTGTGAGACCTTGGATTAGGGTACATAACTGTATTTCTTTGTAACACAATTACTTATCATAAATGTTATGTTTGTTTGTTTATTTATTTACTTTTTGAGATGGATTCTTTTTCTTTTCTTTTTTGAGATGGAGTCTTGCTCTGTCGCCCAGGCTAGAGTGCAGTGGGGCAATCTTGGCTCACTGCAATCTCCGCCTCCCGGGTTCAAGCGATTCTAGTACCTCAACCTCCTGAGTAGCTGGGATTACAGGCACGCACCACCTCGCCCGGCTAATTTTTTTTTTTTTTTTTGGAGTCTCGCTCTGTCGCCCAGGCTGGAGTGCAGTGGCCGGATCTCAGCTCACTGCAAGCTCCGCCTCCCGGGTTCACGCCATTCTCCGGCCTCAGCCTCCCGAGTAGCTGGGACTACAGGCGCCCGCCACCTCGCCCGGCTAGTTACTGTTTACTGTTAATAGAGATGGGGTTTCACCATGTTCACCAGGCTGGTCTCAAACTCCTGACCTAAGGTGATCCACCTGCCTCAGTCTCCCAAAGTGTTGGGATTACAGGCATGAGCCACCAAGCCTGGTCGATTTTTTTATTTCTTATGTGTATGGTCCTGTGATAGACCAGGGGACTTGTAACCTCAGAGTCCATGAGGCCAGAAGCTGACATCCTAAATGTCTATTTAGAATGAATTTAAACAAACCAAATTCTCTGCCACAAAACTCTCAGAAAGACAAGCAATTAAAAAAAAAAAATGTGGCCTGGCAGTGAATCACGCCTGTAATCCCAGTACTTTAGGAGGCCAAGGCAGGTGGATTGCTTCATTCCACGAGTTCGAGACCATCCTGGGTAACATGGTAAAACCTCATCTCAACCCAAAATACAAACATTAGCCAGTTTCATAACCTGATCTCAAAATACATAAATAAGTAGGTTAAAAATAAAATTTTAATTTTAAAATGCTGACTTCTGTTCATTTTGCTTCCTGCCCAGAGAAGGGCATAAAATATCTGTTGCTTGCTTGTTTGTTTTTGACGGGGTCTCACTCTGTCACCCAGGCTGGAGTGCAGTGGTACCATCATGGCTTACTGCAGCCTCAACCTCCCCAGACTTAGATGATCCTCCCACCTCAGCCTCCCAAGTAGCTGAAATCACAGGTGTGTGCCAGCACACCCGGCTAATTTTTGTATTTTCAGTACAGACGAGTTTTCCACACGTTTCCCAGTCTGGTCTCAAACTCCTGGGCTTAAGTGATTCTCCCGTGTTGGCCTCCAAAAGTGTAGGGATTACAGGAATCAGCCACCATGCCTGGCCTTACTTAATATATCTGATCTCACTACATTCTGGCACTAAAGCCTCACATCAAAAAGTTAGGAAGATCTCAAGTTAACATCACAGCTAAAAGAACTAGAGAACAAGGCTGGGCACGGTGGCTCACGCCTGTACTTTGGGAGGCCAAGGTGGGCAGATTACCAGGTCAGGAGAGCGAGACAAACCTAGCTAACATGGTGAAATCCTGTCTCTACTAAAAATACAAAAAATTAGCCAGGCGTGGTGGCACATGCCTGTAGTCCATCCCAGCTACTTGGGAGGCTGAGGCAGGAGAATCGCTTGAACCCGGGAGGTGGAGGTTGCAGTGAGCTGAGATCGCACCACTGCACTCCAGCCTAGGTGACAGAGCGAGACTCCGTCTCAAAATAAATAAATAAAATAAGTAAATAAATAAATAAAAGAACTAGAGAACCAAGAGCAAACAAATCCCAAAGCTAG